ACTTTCATGTGGTGGTTGTGGACTCCAGGCTCTTTGTACACTGTGGCTCCACCCTCACTGGGACTCTACACTTCTAAAAGATGGACAAAGAGCAAATGGACAAAGCACAGCTGTTTATTAAGGACATACATCATTTTAGTTTCAAGTTCCATTCAACAGGACTGGTCATATGGCCCCATGCAGGTGCAAGGAAGGATGGGAAATGCACTTTCTGTCTGGGCAGCTGCTTTGCAACAGCTCAACAGTAGGGCAGATGAAGCATGACTTTTGGGGACAGCCAACTGTCACTGTGGCATCCTGTCAGATGGATGTTATCTCAGGAACCTGAGGCTCAGTGTAGGCAAGTGACTTGCTCAAAGTCACACAGCTAGATCCATGATTACAAACTAGGTGTCCACCCCCAGCTCCTTGCCTCATGCTACCTTGACTTCACTGCTCACTTCTTTGAATTTTAGGAAGAGTCTTAGGCCTAATGCTACATATTACAAAGCAGTTTTAACTTGAAAACTTCACTTCATCCTCAAAATGTCTTGGCAAAGGGGAAAGCAAACAAGTGATTCCCATTTCACAGAAAAAGGAACTGAGTAATATCAACTTTGAACAGAAGTGAGAAGCCCAAGGTCACAGGCACTGCAGACTTTCCAAGCAATAGATTATAGATGATTCTCTTCCTCTGGCATCCCCAAGACCCATGAAAAGAGGCAGTCTGTAGGTCTTACATGACAATTAAAAGATTCTTATCTGTCATGTACATGGTTTAAGTGTGTTAAAAGACAAACTGAGGCACATTTAAATTTTCAGGACTTTATTTGAGCAAACATTGATTCGAATTGGGCAGCACCTGGAAGTGAGTAGAAGCTCTTCATGGCAGGAGCTGGGGCAAGGTTTTACAGGGCAGAGGCAGAAGCAAAGTGAGGCAATCATTTGATTGGCTAGTGCTTAAGGCTGCTTTATTTGGGAAAGCTTAGTTGGCTTAGTTTTCCACACAACTGTAGTCAAACAAATTGTTCTTCAATTTTGATATCTCAGATACGAGTGCATTGACTCTGGCTTAGGTTTTGTTTTCCTTACACAAGTTAGCAGAGTATCAGAGCCATCTCAGTCTAATGACTTCTTTGTCTAACTACTTTAACAGGTGGTATTCAAACTTTCCCCTCTTCATTGGTAGTCTCCAAATACACACCTCCAGTGTCATTCTCTCCCCAATCTGTGTGTCCCCAAGAGTGGCCTCTCCCCAACCTGAGTGACACCATGAGTGTGCACATCCCTGTGTGTGATGCCAGAAATGTTTCCATCCCAATGTGTGACAAATCCTAGTCTGTGTCACACTGGCAGTGTCCACACCCCAGGCCACATGATCAGGAGTGTTCAAACCACCATGGGAAGTGACCCCAGGAAGGTTGACTTCCCAGTGACCCCAGGAGTGTACCCTCCTCTGGGTAACACTGTGGATGGTCACACCCCAGCTTGCGTGGCACAAGGAAATGTCCAGTTCACAAAGTGTGATTTCAGGAGTGTTTACTCCCCAGTCTGTTTAACTGCAAGAGTGTCCCAAAATCCCTCTGTATGATCCTGGGAATGTTTACTCTCCAGTATGTGTGACCCTTGGAGTGTCCACACCCCTATCTGAATGACTCATGTCTGTCCACACTCTAGCTTGAGTAACTCCAAGAGCGTCCGAACTCTCAATTTTGTGACCCCATGTCTGTGCACACTGACTCTGTGTGACCTCACAGTTGCCAACACATTAGGCAGTCTGAGTCCAGGAGGGCCCACGTCCTAGTCTGAGTGACCCCAAGAGGCTCCACACTCCAATCTGTGTTACCTCAGCAATGTCAACAACCTAGTCTATCTGACCTCTGGGATATCCACACCTTAGTATGTGTGATTCTATGAGTGTCTACTAGCCAGTCTGGGTGACTCAGGAGTGTTCACTCCATAGTGTGTGTGACCCCAGATGTGTCCATGTGCAAATCTGCTTGACCCCAGGGCTACCCAAACCCCAATTTGTTTGACTATAGTAATGTCATGCTAGTCAACCTGACTCCAGAAGTATGCACATCCCACTCTGGGTGACCCCAAGAGTTCACAGTCTCCAGTGTTTGTGATTCCAGGAGTGTCCACACCCCTGTGTATGACTTCTGGAATGCGGAGACCCCTATCTGAGTAACCCAAGTCTGTCCATACCCCCATGTGTGTTACCTCATTTGGTGTCCACACCCCTATCTCTGTGACCCAAAGGGTGCCCACACATTAATATGCATGGCCTCAGGAGTGTCCACACAACAATTGCACAATGGTATGTCCCAAGACAATACTAAATTCCTCAGTACTGCTGTTTCTGACACTCTCTGTGGGCGTGGTCTGGGAGGGGCTGTTCATGCCTATTTCAGTGGATCATTTTGTTCCCATCTCCTTCCAACACCATTAAATGGTTTCTTCTCTTCCTATTTCCCTTCACTCTCCCCAGTCGACTATTCAATTTCCATATCCCTCTCCCCAGCCACTCACACGCACACATGTGTCCCACATTCCCAAATAGTCTGTCTCAGCCCCAGACCCTGAAGATCTTGTAGTGAGCAAAGGCCAAGGCAGCAGCTTCCTGCTGCAGACCATGCCCCACAGAGTAGTGGAGAGGAAACCAGTAAGTGCATCACGGATGGAAGTAAAACCTTTCAGGACCTTGTGAAACATCTAAATAAAAATTGGACTCCCTCCTCTTCCCCAACTAAAATGTCAGCTCCATGTGGGCAGGAACATTTGTCTGTTTTGTTCTCTGATGTCTCCCCAGCACTCAGAATAGTGCTCAGTACATAGAACACACACATTAGGTGTTTGTGGAATGAGTGCATCCTCTGACCCAGCAATTCCGCTTCTAACTCTTAACACTCACACACATGCCCAGAGCTGTGTGGACAAGGCTGGTAGGAGCAAACAACTGGGAAAACCTTGTAAATGTCCATTTATGGCCAATGACTGTTGCAGAGTGAGATGAATGGTAGGGGTTCATGTTATATCACAAAGCACGTGCCACATGTGATACAGAATGAGTGGGACATGTGTATACTTGTGGGGGGTGGGGGTGCCTTCTACAGGACATGCCATTGACAAGGAGAAGCAGGTGGGAGCTGGTAAT